TACTCTAGTTAGTACACATTCATGGGTTTATGGAAACCACTCTACCCGCCCACTCTAGTTGCATATATAATCGTGAAGTGAAAGGTCGCACGAGGTGTACCACGTCAGGAAGGTAATGACTTTAACTTTAACTTATTTTAAAATGAACCRTTRTATYGCGGTTGCCGTTTCAAAACTTYGATTGGATTTTGGTCTTTTCTAAACCATTAATCATCAGTCTTCGAACGCGCTCGCGGACTGACTTCGGCCGTCACACGATTTATGACTCGAGAATATTTCAAGGAGCTGCGATGGACAGTGATTCTTAAAAGTTCTTCWAGTATTTCAGAAATTCTTGTAGTGATCCTCATGATAAACCTCGGGATGAGCAAAATCTCGAGTTAGTATGCATTTAGTCTCACTGTTGAATTGTAAAAAGCGCGCCAAATTTTGGTCATGCTAATCCGGGGGTTCACTTTAGAGTGCAAACAATTAATCCGTGAAATACTAATTACATGAAATTGCGCTATTTAGTTTCACGGATTTACTGTGGTCACTCTACCAGAAAACGTCAACTAAAATAGTAAATAAATTTCCGGTTAGGCTATTTTGACTAGTTGACGCACAGGAGTAGGATAAGGCGAAATTTAAACTGCATCCGGTTACTAAAAATAGGCCAACCTGGAATCTACATGCCGCGCGCCACATTAAGAAGTTTCCCTCTCTTATTTATGCTCTCTTGAGTAAACTTAGTCAAACTGTTGAATATACAATCAGTTCAAAAAACGTTGTCGTCGACCGGCTCAAGCCTACGCGACTGGACCGAAAAGGAATAGGGATAAAAAATCACTTAAGCGGTTAAATATTCGTTCTGAATTAATTGTTCCCGCAAGTAGAGCGCAAACAATTCATCCGTGAAACACGAATTACTAAATAGTACAAAATAGTGCTAATTAAACAATAGAAAAATATGGAATTTGAGTATTTATTACTAAAGTTTCACGGTTTTTTTTGTTTTTTTTTTTGCACTATAGTATAGATAATAATGGCGAGAAACAATCCATTAAATGCCTTTGATACTGTTGATCATGATATCATTCTACACCGTCTTAAATTCAAATTTGGCATCTGTGGGACTGTTTTGGTTGGTTCAAGTCTTATCTCTCTAAAGGCCGGTTTAGACGGTACGATTTTCGCCTACAACTATCGTATACAACACGCTCACGTCTGTCGTAGGCGAGTTGTAGGCTTGATTTACACGCTACGACTCGAGTTGTAGGATGGCGCGAGCGTGTTGTATACGATAGTTGTAAGCGAAAATCGTACCGTCTAAACCGGCCTTAACCGTCGTCAGTTTGTCAACATTGATGGTGTGTCATCATCTACAAAGAGTCTACAAAGAGTACTCTGGTGTACCCCAGGGATCAGTGCTTGGGCCTATTCTTTACCTGTTATACACCTCGCCGATTTCTAGTATTTTAAAACAGCATGACATGTGTTTTCATTTTTATGACGATGATACACAAATATATACAACTTTCTCTGCTAACAACGATAATAATGATATGCAATTAATCCTGCAAAGAGTAAACAACTGTCTTATGGATGTTGATAATTGGATGTCTATCAACAAGCTGAAACTGAACAAAGATAAAACTGAACTTCTTTACTTCTTTTTAAAATTCAACAATCAAATATCCTTTCCTCCAATCCAATTTGGCTCTGATGTTATCTCTCCGTCCACCCTTGCAAGAAACATTGGTGTAATGTTTGACTCAACTCTTTCCATGGCTCCTCAAATCAAACAACTATCAAAATCTGCTTTCTACTATCTCAAGAATATTTCCAGAATACGAAGATTTCTTTCTTTCACTACTACTGAGAAACTGATTCATGCTTTCATAACATCGAAATTTGACAATTGTAACTCTCTTTTGTTTGCTCTTCCTAAATATTCTATTGACAAGGTCCAATCTATTCAGAATGCTGCTGCCCGACTGCTAACTCTCTCCAGAAAACACGACCATATCACTCCAATTTT